TTGCTCACCGCTCCTTTCCCTGCCTCCTCCTCCCCGCAGGTCCCTCGGGAACTGTCAGTCTCATCCCTTTCTCCTCAGGCTTGCTCCCCATGCCTATTTTATGTAGGTAGGCAAAACAACAATAATGGAGACAAAACAAAAACAAAAGATTGAATAACAAGAGAAAAAACACCTAGCAAAAAAATGAAAAAGCATACAAAATTCCAGGTCTGTCCACTGACCTTTATGGCTATCTCACCACTGGTCTTGGGAGCTTCTGGGAACTGCCCCTCCTAGCCTGAAGTCTATTTTGGTGGCTCCTCAGGGGTTTTGTGGCTTGGCTTGGCTCCCATTGCTGATCTATTACGTTCCCTTCTTGGTTTGCCCCACTGTTTGTGTGTGGGCGAGTGGGTGGGGACTCCCTCCCTGCCTTGTGTCCCCAGTGTTGTCCTCTGTCGTGGTAATAGACATATTTCTTAAACACTCACTCTGGAAATGTGTCCTGTGACTACTGGGGAAAAGAAAGCATAGTTTACCTGTGAGATGCTCACAACCCACCTAGTAGATTCTCTTTTTATCTGGGTAGCACTACTGTGGGCTGCATAGTACTTTGCTTCTGTTCTCTGACAGTGAGGTAAGTCATTTTTGTCATTATCATAGAGATGGAAATCAAATTAAGAAACAAAAAACTGCAGTCAAGTTGAATTCAACTCATGGTGGCATGTGTTACAGAGTAAAAACTACTTCATGAGGGTTTTTTGGGTATAATCTTTATGAAAGCAGATTGGCACGCCTTTTTTCCCGTGACACCTCTGGGTAGGTTTGAACCAACACCGTTTCAGTTGCATCCTCCTGAGGCTTTTGAATTCCCAGGTCTTCTGATTCCCACACCAGGGTGCTTGTGTGTGAGAGTGTACTTCTACCAGATCAATGTTTTTCAGATTTCTCTTCCTCGGGGTGAACAAATATAAGCCCACATGCTGTGACAGCCAGTGTATTATCTTACATCTTCATGTTAAGTATATTTGACATTCTTTCCTCCTGAATTAAATGAAAACGCTGAGAAAGTGAGCCACACTGCTTCTGGGGCGTTGAAGGTTCTAAGTGGAAGACGAAGGGTACACATCAAACTTAAGCACCTGCTGCCTTGGCTCAGGATCCTTTGGCTCTGGCTTGACTCTCTTGCCCATGATTGTCAGTAACTTCCGTGGGGTTGCTTTCAGGTCTCAGTTTCTCAGAGTAACAAACGCCACTGCCGGCCCCGCCTCTGTCGCGAGCGCGGTCTCTCTCGAAGGGAGCCTGTTAGGCGCGCCGCCGACGGCGCGCTGCGGACGCACCGCCACGAGGGGGCGCCTCGGGCGCCAGCCACACTGCGCCCTCTAGTGGTGGCGGGGCGGCATGCCTCCTTTATGGAACCTATTAAAAACTCAAAAAAGTTGCACTCGGGAAGTCAGCCTGTGTGACACCCGGTAGCCAAGTTTTTTAAACGTCCTGGTCCTCGGCTTCCTTGTCTTAAGGCCTTGGGTAAGTCTCAGAGAAATTCTCTTCCTCCGATCCGCCTCCAACGCCCTCAGGGTCTCCCCCTTTCAGGGTGTCGTACGTAACGTGGTATTCTCATTTCCTTCTGGTAAGGTAAAAAATTAGGACCTGAGGAATTTAAGAACATTAGCTAATGCTTTTTTAATTACTCCACCTTCCCCGTGGATATGGACTCATACCTGCATGAAAAATATTTTGATAGTGTCAGCATGACTCACAGACTCTGGAATTAGACTCTAATCCTCCTGGCTCCTGCATTTACTGATTGGCTCGATTAAAAAATGTTATTGATCTCGAAGCTGGTGTAGTGGGTTCCGCGTTGGGTAACTGTAATGTCCACAGTTCCAACCCACCAGCGCCTCCTTGGGAGAAAGAGGCGCCTTTCTGCCTCCGCGTCTCCCAAAGATGTACAGCTGTGGACACACACCCACATGGGGCAGTACTACTCAGCTACAGGGTCGCTATGAGTCGGAATCCGTTTGAAGGCATTTCGTTTTGAGCTTTTGAAGCTTCGATTAAATCTCTAAAATAGAAAGAATACTAGTACTAGTTGTCATTCAACTCTTGGTCCATTCATGTCTTTCAGAGTGTGCTCCATACGATTCTAATGAAGTAGCCATTTTGAAGCAGAGAGCCAGGCCATTCTACTGAGGTGTTACTGGATGAGTTCGACCCTCCAATCTTTCATTTAGTAGTCGTGTTTAACTGTTTACATCACCCAAGGAGTCTTAGAAAGAACAATACATTAAAAAGTTTACTACCAACAAGATGATTCCGCCTCATAACCCTATAGGACAAGGTAGAAACTCCCACTGTAGGTTTCTGAGATTGGAAATCTTTCCCGGAGTATAAAGCCTCCTCTTTCTCCCAAGGAGCTGCTGGTGGTTTCAAACAGCGGACCTTGTGTTTAGCATCTCAACATGTAACTACACCACCAGAAAGAATAATAGAACCTGCATTATACAGTTCTTGGGAAGATGAACTAAGATAATACCTGGAAAGTATGAGGCTGGCACACGGAAAGTCTTCCATAAACATTAACTATATTCTTCTTTGAAGCTTCTGTACAGCACGTACAATATCGATAATTTGACCCAGGTGACCTAATGGTAATCGTTGGGCTGCTAACCATAGGGTCAGCAGTTCAAAACTACCAACTATTCCTTTGGAGAAAGACAAGGCTTCCTACTTCCGTAAAGTTACAGTCTCAGACACACCGGGCCAGTTCTACTCTGTCCTGTAGGGTCACAGTGATTGGGAATCAATAGCAATGAGTTTTTAGTTTTTAGACACATAACACAAGAACACATGTGCAAAATGACTTTCACAAACAACCTATGGCTTCCCAAATTGGCTAAGCTAATAATGGCCTTAGGTTATGGAAAAGGACACTCATTTGTGTAATACAATCAGCGCAATGGCTATTCAGAGAACAGAGGTGGTGAATCTGAGTCTGAAATCTCTGGGACAAGCCCGAGGGTACAGTGGTGCAAGGCAAGATGGTGCCAAGGCAAGGCACTGAACTGCCACTCCAAAGGCCAGCTAGCCCAAGCCAATCAGATTTACGACATCCTAGGAGTCTAAAAGTGGCCGAGCCTTACAGCCCAAAGTCCAAGCACCTCAGCAAAATGGCCAGAGAATCTGACAGGTAGAAACCTGATAGAAACGATGTCAGAAAAGTTACAGCTGAAGGGCTCCGAGAAAGGTCAGCGCGAGTGTAGCAGCTGTTCCATGTGCTGCCAGAGGCCTTGGCTGCTGTCTTCTAGTCCAGACAGTTAGGCCTCCTGAGCAGCCCCACCTAGAAAATCCCAATCTTCGGCTCTTAAAGGGGACTTGCTGGTTTGTGGCAGGGAGTCTTCTTGGAAGGCAAAGCTCACGCAAGCCTGAATGGGAAAGAGAGAGGCGTGAGGAGGTCGGTGGGTGGGGTGGGGGGTGTTTGCAAACTCGAAAGGAAGGGGCTTGTTGCTGGAACCTGAGCCTCCATGTTGTGAGTACACGTGCTTCTTTCAGAGGCAGGCAGGGCCCTTGCTGCCAGGGGACCCTGGCAGGCTGCGACTTGAACGGTGCCTTCGAGCCTGGGTTGGAGTGGGAGCCACAGAGGAGGAGGGCGGGCATTCCTGAAAAGGGGGCGTGGTGGGAGGTAGAGGGGACCCGCGCGAGCCGAGGCGTGGAGGAAGAATGAATCTGCTGCGCGTTGAGGATGGCATGGAGACTTCCCTGATTGGAGCCGGGAGTGCTTACGGGGGGATGGACAGCTATGATTGGACAGCTGAAGTGGGGCCAGATTTGGAGGGCTTTGAATGCCCCACCGAGGAGCGCTCCACACAGACCCCACTTGCGATTTCCCATCCGGACCAAATTTATTCAAAGGGTGCTGGACGCCGATGGGTGTTCCTGGGGGTTTCTGGAAAAGTCACGTTGATCCTCTCACCTGCTTCAGTTCTCATTCACACGGGAAGTCACCCGCACTTGGCAAGGGGGCGGGGGGTGGGGGTGGGGAGGTGATGCTCACTAGCTCTTCAGATACTTACAAAGAAAAGAAAAAATCCCATTCCCACGCCAACTGGGGTCAAATTTGTTTTCTCCGCCTCGAGCGAGTCCCCCTCTCCTGTCTGTCTGTCTGTCTCTCACAGCACCTCCCCCGATTGCC